CATGATTTTTTTTTTTTTTTTTTTTTTTTTTTTTTTTCATTTTTTGGTTGCTTTGTTTGCTAAAAGCTTCATATATACAAGTAGTGATCAGGGCTAAAAAGTTTTTATTCTCATATTACATCAAAATTAAACTCTTCTACACATCATTACCCAAAATATGTAATAGCGACATGGCTGCAGTGAAGTTAACATAACCCAAAATGTTACTTGTATGTGTTAAGTGTTCTTTATAGATCATTAAGCAACTGCAAAGCATATATAAAATCCCAAACAGCAAACTAAAATTGGCTTCTACAGGAATATAAATGTATAGAAAAGGACCAATTTTTAAGGTAATATATAAACCAATTTAATCACAAAGTAGCCTCAAATATTTAATTAGACCCAAAATAAAAAGAGGAAGAGGAAAAGATAAGCAGTAAGATGGGAGAAAAAGCAGTTACCACTTACCAGCAAGTGACCATGAAGAGTTCCACTTCCAAATCCAAAGAAGGCCTTGCGATTTTTCGCAGTGCGAGTTTCATTTACATACACAACCTCAAGTGGCATCATGAGCCACGGGAGGAACTCCTTGACACAAACACAGAACTTCTCTCCTTGTTGGATCGGTGTTTTCGGATCCACAAATGCCCAATTCAACCCAAAATGCCTGCAAGGAATTTTCCCACACTAAATCTATGTAAACACAAACGCACACACCCCTTAAAGCAGAAGCAACTTATCTCAAAATTTTAGTGGGATTAAAAATCAATAGACCCTTATTTGCTTATTATACAGACATACTTCCAACTTGTGAGAGCACTCTTGCCCTTTTCAAAAGTCTCAATACCAGAACCAACAAGAACTCGCGCCTCATTTAGTAAAAACCCATCTTTTGAGAGTCCCTCATCTGCTTTAAGGGAAGATGGTGATTTAGCAGTAGCTCCTTTATATTTGTCATCATAGTTGAAAGTACCTGACCTGGTAACATGGTAAAAAGTAAAAAAGGAATGAGCCACATAAAATAATGCACTTGGAAATCAATTTCCCGGTAAAGAAATCGTGCGTTATTTACTTGAGGATGCAAGCCTTTTGTTCTTGGGGAGAGGGGCGACCCCAGCTGAAGAAAACCATCTCTCTTGAGCATTTTAACAAACATGTGGTGGGATAAAGATTCGTGAAGCAAACAGCGTTAGAACAAGATAAGAAGTTAAACTAAAAGAGATTAAGCATGCTATGAATACATCGATTAAGAGATTGGAGATACCAGGTATTGAGTTTGTGCAAGATTTTATGTATTCGTAGCCAGAAGCTGCGTGTTGTTGCTATGAGAAGGTAGTTAGTGGCGAAGAACTACCATGCCATTCAATCATTCATCAACCAACTGTGAACCTTCATAAATTCTGGTTCATAAATTAGGATGGATATCTCAGCCAGAAAGTAAACATATATTTAATACCATTTAATATGACTTTTAAAGATAATTATTCCTTCTAAGATAAGTGTATTCTTATATTATTTTATAAAAATATAAAAAAATTAATAAATAGATGATAATTTTATAAAATTAATTTTATAATTAATTTATTTTTAATATAAATGATGCAATATAATAACTATTTTCTAAAGAATTTTATACTAACACAATACTTATTAAAAAGAATATGAATAAAAAAGAAATAATTAATACTATATTAAAAAAATTAATTTTAAATTATTTTTTCAAATACGACATTTATCATGGAATGAAAGAGTGATATTTTAATTACAGTAATCCATGTCACATGTATTACTTTTATATAACAATTTATAATATATATTTTTTAATTAAGAGATAACATAGACCATTTTAGGAGTAATGTGATAATTCAAATTGTAACTAACAAAAATTGAATTTAGAGTCTATTTGAATTAGGGATGGCAATGAGGTTCCACGGGGCGGGTTTATTACTACTCGTCCCTGTCCTGCTGGGTGAAAATTGGTCTCATATCCACCCTATATCCGTGCGGGTATCTATTAAGCGGGTATTTATGAATTTTTTAAATACTTACAGATATCTATGAATATTTATAAATTTTTTTAAGAAATTAAAAAAATATATATTATAAATAATTTTAAGTTTATATTTAATGTCATTGAAATATTAAAAATAAAAATTCAGTGTTAATTTTGAACTTGTATTTAACGTTGATTTTATTGAAATAATAATAAAAAGGCAAGATAATCAATAACTTAAAATACATCAATATCACAAGTAAGTTAAAGTCTCATCACAAAGCTACAATAATTTAATCTCATAATTCCAAACGAAAGTAAACAACTTAAAATACATAAATCTTATTGGTCCAATCAAACCTATAAAATTAATCAAATTACATCCAACATAATTATATAACATGCTTAACACATGTTGGTAACTTCATCAACCTCACTTTTGTAAGAAAATAAAATGAGAGAATATAATTTTAGGATTATGTTGTACAAGGATAATTAAGATATTTAAAAAATATTATTAAACGGGTACCCGTTGATATGGATATCATCATACCCGCCCCCGTTCTGTTTATAAACGGGTAAAATATTATCCGTCCCCATTATCCACAGGTGCCCAATTAGCTTATCCATTTATTATCCGTAGTGGATTTTACCCGCAGATACCCGCGGGTACGGGTATTTTTGCCATCCATAATTTGAATACTAGTTTAGAAATACTTTTGAAAGCTTCTTTACATAAAAAAAAATCTTTATTTTTTATAGAGAATTTCTAAAAAAACACTTCGAACTTTATCAAAAGAAACTCTTAGTGTTTAATTAATAAATACAAGTGGCTATAAATTGTAAGAGAAATACGAGTAACAATTTTTTAACACTCTTAATTATTAGTTAAAATTTATTAGAAATCACATATTTTGTGACTTTTCATCTCATTTAGTTGGCCTCTCTTCTAATTTAATGATATAATCCAGCAAAATTTATAATTTTCAATTGATAATAATAAGAGAGTATTAGTAAAAAAAAGTTTTACAAAAAATGTGTCTAATATTTATCAAATTATATTACAATTAAAATTTGTAAGGAATAAATATTTTTTATGATGTAATTATATTTTAAATTTATAATAAATAATTATATTATGATATAAAATATTTATCAACCATCAATAATTCTTTTTTTAAAATTATATAATTTTTTTAATAAAAAATCAGGTATGTTAAGTATCACTATAAGATAAAAATATTCCAATAATGTTGACACCTTAAAGTCTACCATTCATTTGCAACATCCCCGAATATAAATAAAAGAGGAAAGAAAAACAAAGAACATGAGAGACTAGACCAAATTCCAAGAAAAATTAACAAAAACGAAGATAAGGTAGGCCAGAATGGTTAGGAAAGAACTTTGATTGAATAAAAGATGGTAAAGTGTCCTACCAAACAAAACTATTACTATGTGCTACACCATGTTCCACAAGTCTATTAGCACACTAATTACCCTGTCTAAAAATATGAGAAGCCTGAAAGTGCATCTTAGAACACAAAATTAAACAATGTTTCATTGACTATGAGCAAACCAATGAACCAAGTTAGGATTGTGGAAGGCATGTAAAACCATTCTAGAAATACACTCTAACCACATCCTATGTCATCCTACTGAAAACCTATATTCAATAATCTACATAGTAGTGATCAACTCTGCCTTCAATGCATTGGCAACACCAATGTATAAGGCAAACCCTCCTAAGAAAGTCCCTCTACTATCTCTTGTAGACCCCTAAAATTGTCCGGGTCGGAAATA